GCGAGCGAGCGAGCGAGCGAGAGAGAGCGCGAGAGAGAGAGAGAGAGCACGAGAGAGAGAGAACGAGACACATCACAGTGAAGTCAGCTGTCTTAACCGTGGCTTGTGTACTGCAAACACATATTCATCACTGCGTCTGTCACGAGACTCTGTTCCCCTTTCAGGCTCTGTCTTTACATTTATTTTGAAAGATGAAGCTCGCAATTATGGTAAGGGGCGTTACATTTCCGACGAGTGCTTGCGGTGTTCGGCCAATCACAATGCACTGGGTCAACTGCCCAATCAGAGCAGACTGCGCTTGTCGGAAGGAGGGACTTTGTAGAAAACGAAGCATTTGAGAGAGGCGGGGCATAGAAGACTTACAATAATGTACAGTATTTGAAAAATAATGTGTTTTTTGAACATTAAAGCATGTCAACATATTCTGTTACACCAAATACACAAAATAATGATCTTTAAAAAAGCATTATATGACCCCTTTAAAGCTTAGCTTAGCCCATTATCTGGTCACCATCTTGGATTTAAAAAAAAAAAATGAAAAGAAAAGAAAAAGTTGCACATAAGGCAAATCTCACAGACTTGGGGAAAAAAACAAATCAACTGTCCTCATGAATAACTCAGTGAGTACATGCTGGGGAAAATGTAATAGCAGCTGTACGTCTAGCCCTTATACAGCTCAGAGTGTTAAACCTCACCTGCGTCTGACTGTCCTCTGATGGAAAAGTACCAGACGGCATCTGACATTTCCTCTATTGAGCGCTGTCACATTCTGATGAGGCTGCACTCTACTCTTCCCAAAGTTAATGAGGGAGAGAGGGAGTTCAGCTAAATGCAGACTGACTCTGAGGGACTAACAGAGTTAATTTCATTTATATAGGCGACTCGCCACTGGTGCCAGAACAACATATTCACCATCTACCCGTCTGCAAGGCAGGACAAAGAAAGAGGTGACCTTGAACAAATCATATTATTCCTCACTACAGCAAGGTATCTGGACTTAAATGGGTCAATGTGTTGCAGGGAGGAACAGAGTAATGGCCAGTGTTCCTTTCAGTTTTTGTATATATGTTTTCATATATTCATATATGGACAAATAATATGAAAACTGTCAGACCACACGATCTATATAATATAGGGAAAGTTCATAGTATATACTGTATTTACAAAATGTAAAAAAGGAACAAAAGTATGTCTTTATGATTTACCCAGTATTGTTACACCTTCCTTTTGTTTTGCCAATACTGTATGACTTATTTTCTTTTCCCGAAACACAATATATATATAAAATATTTATTTTTATTTATTTTTTTGTACATCGAAAGTCAATGGGGTCAGATGTTGTTTTGGATTCCACTGACTTTCACTGTATAGACAAAAAAAGTAAAAACATCCTTTAAAATATATTATTTTGTGTTCCACAGAAGAGAGAGAGAGTCATACAGGTTTGAAATGACATATTTAGTATGTTTATTAAGGCATTTTGTTCCCCAGGCAAAATCTGACCTAAATCATTAAATTACCATTTCAATGACAAAACAAGCAGTGCTATAGCATGCATGCATCATATTTTATCCCGGACTATTTTGACCCACATATATATATTCAAAAGGAGAAAATTGAGCTATGCATTTTAGGGTTAATACAGGGTGATCAGTTTCTTTATTTAATTAAATGGTCATCAAACTGTTTAATACATGGCTGCTAAAGCTATAGAATCTGTGTGCTATATAAAGTACAGTTGTTACACGTGGCATGTTAAGGAAGGTGTTTCAGGGTAACTGTCTGGGAGATGAGGTTGGTTGGAGGGCCAGGGGGAGGTGGCAGTCGTCTCTGTGGTGACAGCTGAGGCACATGCAGTATGACACCTTCAGTTGGTGTGAATGGGATGCTTGATTATGAGCCTTGCAAAACTGATTGAGTTGCACACAGACACACATACACACACAGGAGCCTTTCTCTGCCTCTCTCTTTCTGTCCTTACTCTCCGCATTTCTCTCTCCCCCGAGTCCTCATTAGCGATGTGAATGCTGAGGTTCTGGAATGTCGCAGTAATTGCCATGTCCGCACACTGAAATTTACTGGAACAAGGAGCGAAATGTGAGGATGTAAAATACAATTACAGTGTGCGCTCATAATTGATTCATTAATGCAAGCCGAGTCGAGCTGCAACTTCAGACAAGACATTAACAATACGGAAGGCAAAGAAAAAGAAGTCACAGAGTTGGTGGTTCTATTTAAAAAAACGGAATATTCTACTTGTCCCTCATATCCACAATCATTTAAGGTTAATTATTCTTGATAAGCTCGCTGAATGAACCTATTTCATTTCCACAAGTTGGAGACAGGCTTTCCATTTGGTTTGGAAAGTATTCACTCAGCTATGCTCTAGTCTCTATTATATGAAATTAATTAGATCAGAATTGCAGGTTTGCGGCACTGAATTTCACTCCCTCATCAACGAGAGCGAAGTGTTCATCCATAAAATCCCATTAAAAAACTGTTAGTACAACATAGCTGGGTCATTTCATTTCTCAAATATCGATGAAGTTTTAGGCTGTATAAATAATGTAAATCAAAACCAAGACAGATGGGAGATTTTCCAGCACTACATAATTAGATATAAAAGTGGCTTTTGACAAAAGCTTCTCAAACAGTAAGAGTAAACAATGTAATAACTGTAAATCCACAGAGAGCATAAGCAATTTTAAGTCATTTGTGTTCCATGTTCTTTTTTGTTTGCATGTATGCTACCATTAAAGATTTTGGGATCTGTTAGATTTTTTTTAAATATCAGTCTCTTATGCTCAACCAAGACTGCATATATATATATATATATATATATATATATATATATATATATATATATATATATATATATATATATATATAACAGTAACAATTTGAAATATTATTATAATTTAAATAACTCTTTTCTATTTTAATATTTATTAAAAATGTAATTTATTCCTGTGATGGAATGCTGATTTGTCTGCATGATTACTCCAGTCACATGATCCTTCAGAAATCATTCTAATATGCTTTTAAAATAATTTTTATGATCTAATATGATTTTTAATATGATTTTGCTGCTCAAGAAACATTTCTATCATGTTGAAAACAGCATTTTTTCTTTGACGAATAGAACATTCAAAAGCAATTATTTGAAATATAAATCTTTTGTAACATTATAATTGTATTTACTGTCACTTTTGATCAAGTTAATTTGTCCTTGCTGAATTAAAGTATTAATTTATTTATTTCTTTAAAAAAAAAGTAGTATATTTATTCAATAATTCACCTATTTGTTTGTATTTTTTTACCTTTTTGAATTAAAATGCTTAAAATAACTTGTGGGTGTTGGAATTACAATAATTGAAACGGATGTCCATGTTTTCTAATAGTGTTACAACAAGTTACAACCTACCACAAAAAGTTACAGAAGTGTTACAGCCATCCCAGCTCTCCTCTCTTTCAGTATATTGCGGCATTGGTATCAGCTATGGTCACAGATCCAGGCATGTGCTTGTCCCCAGGTAAACTGTATTTTTCTCTGATCTCACAGATGGTGCTGGTGTTGGTTTCCCTAGCTACCGTGTATAGTCAGTCAAGCCAATAACATCCAGACGCTATTGGAGAGTTTGGGGCCTTTGGGCTAGTCAGACAGTAGACCGCCCCAGCACATGTGGCTTTGTGTTCTGAAGAGTAAAAGGCAGCAGTGACACTGAATTTCCCCTCTGGCCACTCTAACAATAGAGAAGTACTACCAGCCGCCTGTGCACAAACAGCAATTACGGCATTGGGCGTGAGTCCAGAACCATAAGCCCTATGGACAGAGTTCAAGAATGGACCCAGCTGTACAAGAACAAAACAATCTGGGTTTGTTGCTGCATCCGACACACTGCACGCCTGGGCATGACCCTTAAATAGAAAGTCTATTCAGGCAAAGATTTTTAATTAGCTTGAATGCTTATGAGTGGACAGTCCCATATCATGCAGATGGAAGGTGTATGTATCACTTACCGTCACTGTTGACGCACTGTACTTGTGGGTTCTGGGTTCCCGGTCCACATACTTTGTCATTGTCAGGCACACACTCCTCCAACTTCACCAACAGCCATTCATAGCAACTGGGCTCCTCACAGGGAATTGCCTCCGTCAGGTGGGGGCAATTTCCTGTGCCACCTGTGGGCTCATTCATGATTTTCCTTTTCCTCAGTTTGAAACCTGTCGAAGAACACGGATGGGACTCAAAATCATTCTTGTTATTGATTCACTCCATTGAGTTAATCAGTGGGAGTAAATAGCGCAAGTAGGGTTGAATCATGTAAACTAGTCAAACAGTCAACCCAAAAAGTAATTTATTAGTAAATGTATCTGTTCAAAGTTTTAGTTTATTGCACAATGCAAATTATTTATTTAGTTATTTATTTAGTTATTATTATTATATACAAATATTTTACAAAGAATACATAAAATAATCACTTTACCCTATTTGGACAGTCATTCTTTTGAATTAGTCATACATTTTATTCATGCATCTCCCAATAAAGCAGTTTGTGGACAGATAAATTTTTCTCCTGAAGTTCACACTGAGCCAACGCTTGCCCGACTAGTGTCTGAACAAATCGACTAGCCGGTGCAATCCCTTGCGTTAGCCCTCTAAACTGTCACAGTGTGTCATTGCACAGTCACTGTAATATTGCATTAAACATATCGGTCCATTAAGCGTGCAAGATGACAGAAATTATTGGAGCAGCTCATCATAATGAATATTATTATTCCTCCCTCATTATGCTTGCCTTTCACCAAAGGGACTAATGCATTCAGCAATCCATTAATACAGAAGAGGCTTTGACGCCAGGGGTATTCCCATTCAAGGGCAGGAAAAGGGCTCCAGAGGAATGAAAATGGGTGGACTGGACTCATGACCGGCGCAAAGTCACCTACACGTACCCTGCCATCACCCTCCTCTCTCTGCTCCCTGGCCTCTGGTTTAATCCACATTGCTGTCTGGGGCCGATAAGGTAATATGGGAGAGGGGGGCCTTTAGGAGTTAGTTGGACATGCCAGCGTTGTCCCTTTTTCTGATGACTTCTGTCCTACGCTCTCCTCCTGGCTTTATTTAATCAGAAGGTCAGCATAGAGCTCATTGTGGGTGTATAAGGGGATTGTATCACGTTCTGTCAGTCAGCCCGGAGGTGTCTGATGGCACATGCTGCCTCTGTCTCTTTATCAGACAAAAGCACGATACTGGGTTTTATATGAGCCCCTGTTAATCAAAAATAGACAAAAGGCACAGCCGCACAAAAATCTCATCAGGATCTCATGGGTCATCACGTCTAAGGTGCACACTGACATGTTATTGAGATGTCACATGTAATTTGTACTTTATCTCCCATCAAGCTTATTTTTGTAGCTTGTTGAGGCTATAATAAAGATTACTGATATATTACAAAACAACAATCTTGCTGTTTTAATAACAGTTCATATCTACATTCATCATTTGTAGACGGTAAGACAGCACTGGATTTGGTTGTTGCGTGACATCAAACCAGGACTGCACAGCATTATTGCAAATTGAGTTCTGTTGCAAAAAATAATTAGGTTAAAATTGAATTCTAGAATGTGAATTGAGATTGTGAAGATTTTCAGAAACATTCGATGTTATCTAAATCAAAATACTTGAAATATTGTTGTAGATTTGGCATAAACCGGTAACAGTGAATATAAAGTCCTTTGAATACATACATTTTAAATATTAAAATATGTAATATTAAATCTTAGTATATAGTAAAAGTAAAGTAAAATAAATCATCATACAATATATAGTATCTGTTCAAAGTTTTAGTTTATTGCACAATGCAAATTATTTATTTAGTTATTTATTTAGTTATTATTATTATATACAAATATTTTACAAAGAATACATAAAATAATCACTTTACCCTATTTGGACAGTCATTCTTTTGAATTAGTCATACATTTTATTCATGCATCTCCCAATAAAGCAGTTTGTGGACAGATAAATTTTTCTCCTGAAGTTCACACTGAGCCAACGCTTGCCCGACTAGTGTCTGAACAAATCGACTAGCCGGTGCAATCCCTTGCGTTAGCCCTCTAAACTGTCACAGTGTGTCATTGCACAGTCACTGTAATATTGCATTAAACATATCGGTCCATTAAGCGTGCAAGATGACAGAAATTATTGGAGCAGCTCATCATAATGAATATTATTATTCCTCCCTCATTATGCTTGCCTTTCACCAAAGGGACTAATGCATTCAGCAATCCATTAATACAAAAGAGGTTTTGGCGCCAGGGGTATTCCCATTCAAGAGCAGGAAAAGGGCTCCAGAGGGATAAAAATGGGTGGACTGGACTCATGACCGGCGCAAAGTCACCTACACGTACCCTGCCATCACCCTCCTCTCTCTGCTCCCTGGCCTCTGGTTTAATCCACATTGCTGTCTGGGGCCGATAAGGTAATATGGGAGAGGGGGGCCTTTAGGAGTTAGTTGGACATGCCAGCGTTGTCCCTTTTTCTGATGACTTCTGTCCTACGCTCTCCTCCTGGCTTTATTTAATCAGAAGGTCAGCATAGAGCTCATTGTGGGTGTATAAGGGGATTGTATCACGTTCTGTCAGTCAGCCCGGAGGTGTCTGATGGCACATGCTGCCTCTGTCTCTTTATCAGACAAAAGCACGATACTGGGTTTTATATGAGCCCCTGTTAATCAAAAATAGACAAAAGGCACAGCCGCACAAAAATCTCATCAGGATCTCATGGGTCATCACGTCTAAGGTGCACACTGACATGTTATTGAGATGTCACATGTAATTTGTACTTTATCTCCCATCAAGCTTATTTTTGTAGCTTGTTGAGGCTATAATAAAGATTACTGATATATTACAAAACAACAATCTTGCTGTTTTAATAACAGTTCATATCTACATTCATCATTTGTAGACGGTAAGACAGCACTGGATTTGGTTGTTGCGTGACATCAAACCAGGACTGCACAGCATTATTGCAAATTGAGTTCTGTTGCAAAAAATAAATAATTAGGTTAAAATTGAATTCTAGAATGTGAATTGAGATTGTGAAGATTTTCAGACACATTCGATGTTATCTAAATCAAAATACTTGAAATATTGTTGTAGATTTGGCATAAACCGGTAACAGTGAATATAAAGTCCTTTGAATACATACATTTTAAATATTAAAATATGTAATATTAAATCTTAGTATATAGTAAAAGTAAAGTAAAATAAATCATCATACAATATATATTTGAATAATATATAAATATATTAAATTCAAATAATGTCACTAAATTCATCTTACTTTCATCCCAGTTCAAACTCTTGTGCTGTTTTGGCAATTCAATTGAAATTCCTCAAACTCACACATTTTATTTTCTAAATTTTTGCCCAACTTTGCCTCAATACAGATTTTATATCCATGGCCCTAAAGCTAATGATCACGGATGTGTTTTGTTAATGTAATAAGCACTGATGTTGTAGCACCATGTTGTTCTATACTGTCCTTGTGCGGGAGATACTATATGTATATAAAAAAGAAGCCTTCACTGCTTTCGCCACATCTCCCTGAATAATGAGAGCCCACATACTGTACATACACAAGTGCTGAGACCTGCCATTACAGCTATATGGCATGAAGTATGAACCGTGTGCGTTTGAAAAGAGAGAGTGGAACACAGATTCACAGAGAATCCATCATTAAGATGCATGGTGGCGAATTTCCTCCCATCCCATCCTTTTGAGTCGCTTCATTAGGGAAGAGTCAATATGCATTAGTCATTGCACGGGTCGCTGTCCCAGCCATAATTAACGAGGAAAGCAGTCAGCGTGCCAGCACCTTTGATACACTATACCAACTGTCAGCAGCATTCGGTAAACCACCATCCTGTGAATCCAGCAGATTGGGTTCCTTCCAGAGACCATCTGAAGCTTGTGTTTGTCGCTTTGAAGCCATCTAACCCTTGATTTGTCTTTTGTCTATTTCCTGACATGTTTTATTTTTCTGTGAACCCCTTTTGTTTGTTGTTCCCTCTACAATGCTCGTGGTTCATAAACCGTTGAGAAAATGAATCTTCTGCCCCAGCAGGCGTTGATAAGTTTATGGCCCGGATGCTGATGGCGCAGATAGAGGTGAGAGCTGGGGCGGAGTGAGTTATGTGTTGAAATGCTTCCCGTACACAAGTCAAGTGATTTACAATGAAAGAGGACGTTTTATTGATCTGCTCTGTTTTAGCGAGATGGGTGAAACGACCGCTCCCCAAACACAACTGTAAAAGATGAAGTGGTCCTGTAGTTCAAGCTTACCTTTCTTTGTGGACTGATCCTGACAGTTTTCAAAGGTGCAGGGCCCCCATGCGCTCCAGGAGGACACCTCACACTCCACAGGACATGGAATATGGCAGAGCTGGGTGGTGTTAGGAGAAACGCCCAGACACAGGTCACTGTTCACTGGCCGCAAGCCTGAGGAGACACAGACACACATTGTTACAGAGTCCCTATAAAAATAGATGTACCGCAAATGGAATAAGAATATACAGCTCATTCATACAAGTATATGATTTAAATAATAAGTCCAAAACTATTTCAGATATTTAATTTATACACACGCACAAAAGTGTCATAAGATTTTGTTTTTGAAAGAAATATCTTACGTTCACAAAGGCAACAATAAAGTAAAATTAGTAGCACTTTGCAATATTATAATTAATTATTTTTTTATATATATATATTTTAAATGATCCATTGATTCTATAGAAACTATTCTAATATGGCGATTTAGTGCTAAAAAAAATTCTTCTTATTATCATTTTTTCAGGGTTCTTAGAATGAATCTTTTAGAATATTATAAAGGCCCTTTGATCAATTTTATGTGTCCTTGCTGAAAAAAAGCATTAATTTATTAAAAAAATGGTATAGTGTATATATTGAATACTATTTTTAAAGAAGTTTTTCTTCTTTTTTCTAAAAGTAATGTAAAAATGATGGTGGACTTAAAGTACCTTAAAAGGCAATGTGAAGCATTTAAATATATTAGTTAACATTAAATAAAATTATACATGTCTTTGTTATATACATATAACTTTAATTCAGCAAGGACACATTGAATATATACTGTATATATATATATATATATATATATATATATATATATAATCTAAAAATGATGGGAGAATATGTGCGGGAAATGACGTTGGTTGAACTGTGTTGCATTGGACTCAAATTTATATCACCCACACGTGTCCCAAAAAGTACCTAAAAAGGTTATGTGAAGCATTTCAATATGTCTGAAAATTCGAACATGAAGAGATAAAATGACATGATGAACATCATTCTCATAAACAAGTGCTCCTGATTGCACATGTTTTTCTAGACATCTCCCAAGACCCCTTTCGTCCTTGTTTTCTTTTTATCTGTAACCAGCACTCAGTGCAACTGTGCTTTCAGCTCCGAGCCGTAGGTGACTTTCTGCAAGGTCAGTGCGTGAACAGATCTACTGCCGATACCCTTTGACAGATCTTCTCTTCATTCACATGCAAATTGCTTCGTGTCCAAAAGGTGTTCTCTGTGCGCCCTGAGCCATTTCTAAAATCATTCAATTTATGTGTTTTGTGTGTGTGTAGATTTTCAGTGCGATCTAAGTGATTGATTGCATGGCCAGAGTCATTAATGATTTATATGAGCTTGTTTAAATCAGAAATTAAAAGGGTTTTGTTTGGTGAAGTGCTCCTCTGGGGCAAACATCCGCAGAAATGCTCAATTTAGCATGCCGAATTTACTTCCAAAAGAGACACGTCAAAAAAAAGAAATTAGCTGTCAAATTGACAAAATTGATTTGCAAAAAATGTCAAATTGACTTGCAAATGCAAGTTCCCTTATTCCCACAAACAGACTTGTCTCCATGCGCTCCGTATTTCTTATTAGGACGTGGTTGTGCTGTTGAGGTATTGAGGTGGGCAAAAACCTGTCTGACTTCCTGTCTCAGCAGCTCACGTTTCGCTGCACTGTTAACCCAGCCTGATTAATGACCCTCTCCTTGTAGGTTGACCTTGTTCAGGTGGCACAACACTCGCTTGGAGGCCAGATGGTCTGCTGCTTGCCCACCCAGGGTTTCCCCGGCCTAATTATGGCACCAGTATCCCATCAGTCCCTCTGTCCGTCTGACAGCCGCCAACACATTCACCTGCTTGCATCACCATCATCATCATCAATAACTCGGGCCTGCCTGTGGGGCGGTGCTGCATGGATGCTCTGTAACAAAGCCACTGTGTTGAATATCTCATAAAGATCCACGACGGGGTGCAACATTGATTTTATTCCAGACAGCGACACGGCCGAGCCGAAACGAATGAACACTGTTGTTGCGTTCTGCTCTCTGTGACTGAGATGTGTTAATGGATAAAGATCGCAACAGCAGCTGCTTTCCCCTGTTGTCTAAATGTCTGAAGCCACCCGTGGGGAGAGGAAATCAAGCACAGCTTCCCCAGGCCCAGACAGCAGAGCAGGAAGCCGGATGGGAAGCACCATTGGCATGCGAGGAAGACAACAAGCTGCTTTTGATATGTAAAATGCATACTTTGTGTTCAGTGCCATTCTGGCATTCATTACATGGGTTTAGGAATCCATAATCCCAAAATGACTGAAAATGAATTTGGAATGCAAACAAAGCTTTCACGTTCGTGGAAACAATATATTTCACTGATTCTTTACTACTGGCAAAATAGAACACAAAACAGAAAATTAACAGTTGGGGGGCGGGCGGGGTGTAAATTCAGAGGTATGTTCATGTGCATCTACTGCTTCCATTTCCACTTCCTTGCATTTCATTTAATATGAAGACACAGACACAAAAATAAATACATAAATAATGTGAAATACGTTCATGCAAGACTACAGTTTCAAACTGTTTAGTTTCAACAGATCTCCGCACACACCAACACAATAATATAAAAATTCTAAAATAAAATACAAAAAAAAATGTTGACAAAGAGCGACACAGCTGTGAAATAAAAGGGTGTATTTAAATTTAATATTTGAATATATACAAATTAAAGGGATAGTTCACCAAAAAATTAAAACTCTGTCAACATTTACTCCCAAGTTGTTACAAACCTGTATGAGGTTCCATTGGCTTCCCTAGAATGGAGAAAAAAATACTGTGGAAGTCAATGGCCACCGTCAAATGTTTGGTTACTAACATTCATGAAAACAATATCTTCTTTTGTGCTCAACAGAAGAAAGAAGCTCAAAATGAGGGTGAGTAAATGATAACGATATTTTTGTTTTTGGGTGAACGATCCCTTCAAAGGGAAGTAGAAGATACTGTGAGATCTTAATTTTGATAATTACAATCAAATGTGTGATGGTTAATATAAAAGTAGCTATGTTGCTGCCTTAAAAAACGAATGGTAGATAAGATTGTGGGACATGCCGTAAGTATCAAAGTTTCATATGCACTGGCATCACACATTGTACTGAAATAGAGTGCAGACAAACATAGTTGTCTAATTTCTACAGAGGATTTAGCTATGATCCCTGGAACTGAATGACCAGATTAAATCTGCTTAAAGCACACGGTGTCTGTCCTTGAGTAAACCACCACTCCTGATGCTCTCATTGTCTGGCATTAATGTATATAAATACCTGTGAATAAATCCAAAGGCCCAGTGGCAAATCACTTGGAAATGTCCAATCATGTGGAGCTTGAAATGAAATCCTCTCAAATCTGTCTGAAACTCCCTGAGGGGAAAAGTGGCTGATTGACTCTTCATTGATTAAAATGAAACCAGGAAAATGAGGAAAATAGTAGGGCTGGCAATCAATAATAAAAAAAAACTGAATTAATTATGTGATATGCAGATTAATTAATCAAATTAATTGTATGTAATTCACATATAACAATGTTTGCTGAGACAGATGATGGGTAAAACAAAGGAAACCAAAAGAGATAAAAAAAAACACTATTCAAAAAAAGAGCATGAGACAGAGCTGGACAAGGTGTGGAAAAGCTTGAGGTGTGTGTGAGAGTGTTCAGGTGTTCTTTCACTTTTCCTTTTCTTTATCTCACACAGTTCTTCCATCTGTCACCGTGTGACCCGTCAGCGCGCCAGGCCTGTCACCTCCCCCAGCAGGAAGCTGCAGTTAGTGCCATGTGCTTCTCTTAAGACCACATTACGGATGGGATTCCAGCACTGTCTGGCAGAACTTCCTCACAGACAGGAGGCTGGACACCAAGGTCCTGATTCACCAAAATGCAGAACAAAAGATACGAATTGCGTGTGCACTTTTTGGGTGTATTTTTGTTGTCTCACTAAATATTTTCAGTATTATAGTTTATACGATTTCTACAGTGTACAAATTTGGGGTCAGTTTTTTTTTTTATATAATAAAAAAAATAATAATACTTTTATTCAGCAAGGATGTATTACATTAATCAATAATGACAGTAAAGACTATATTCTTACAAAATAATTTGATGGTGTTCTGAAAATAAATGAATTAAAATAAAATAATGTATTCTGGTTTCCACAAAAATATTAAGCAGCAACTGTTATGAATAAGAATAAGAATAAGACATTTAAAAAAAAACATTTTCAAACCAGTTTCACGGTAATTCCAGATATGATAAAATTATAATATCTAAAATAATTATAAATTCACTAGTAAAGACAAAGAAAATTTGCCATTATATATTTACACATTTAAGTCCTTGCATTACAGATCTTTAACAATTTCAACAGCCAAACTATCAACTGTGCTCAACGCCAGTGCATGAGCTACTTGAGGTGGTGGATTTTGTTCTGAAACTTGATCTGCTCTCAATGAACTTGGTGTTATGTAGAAAATATATACAGTAGTCAACATTTGAAGTGGATCAAAACCTTTCATCAAAGTTGTCCTAAAACCTAAAACTAAAATGTGTTCTTGTATTAGGACAATTTTAATGAACTTTTTTGATCCACTTCAAATCTCGACTACTGTAGGTTAGGATTTCTTAAAAATTTATTTTTAGTGTTTCATACAAAAAAATAACAGCATACTGACAATAAAAATTGACTACACTGACTACAAGATGCCTATGTTGCTCAGCTGAAAGACTTAATCCTCAATAGACAACGTCAGCAGATCAGCACAGGCATTTTTTTAAAAGTAAAATCATGGCTTACAATAGCTGTTAAATACACCATTGTGAGTTTTAGCCTATTTGTTTCAGTTCAAAAGGCAAGCTGCTGTCTGTGTGCTTTGTCTTCCTGTCTGTAGTGTGACCATGCCATACCAGGCAATGACTGCTTGAGGACAGCTGTGGACATTTGAATAAGTTCCCTGAGAGGTCGCCGGTTCAGCTCTCAGAGCAGATGGCAAGGGAGTTTCTGTGTCAGTTCGAGAGTGAGCGCAGGCCCAGCACCAGCCCCGGCGCATGGCATGAGGCACTGGCACCTCCCTGTTTCTGTTGTATTACTCCAGAGAGAATTTGTGTTTGGGTGTATGTGCACCTGTGTGTATGTCTGTGACAGCATCAGCATTTAAATTCCACAGTAGCTGCCTCATTAATTTGTACAGCTCTGCCTTCTTTATTCCTTAATTTCCCCCTGGTGATCTAATTTCAGCCTTTAAAAAGCAATCCAATTATATGTTGGCTTCAATTGTGTACCACAGTACAAACATCAACTGATCTTTGTCTAACAGCTCACAGTGAGCCTGTAAGTCTGTAGTGGGGCAGAGGTGACCAGAGCCAAAAACAGGAAGGCGATTTTACAAAATATAACTTAGCATCAAGCATGTTAGTCACACAAACTTTTATCAAAAATCACACGAGTAGCCGTGCGATATTGCTCTATATCAACACTGCTGTGATTCAGACAAAATAACCATTACTAACACACAGAGCGTTTCTAAATACCAAATGAGTATTTAAGACTAGCTGCTGGACAAATAGCATATATAATAACCCATAGCAGATCTATACATGTGGAGCTGGGGAGGTGAAAGGTTTCAGAGGAACTCTGAAAGCGCACTGGGAACGATGCAACAATGACCGATTAGGCAATTGACAATTCTGTCAACTGTCCGAAACGCGAGCTAAAGTCTTCTATCGCAGCGTGCAGCAGCTCTAGATGCGTCGATGTGAAGCAAAAGTCAAAGAGAGAAGACGCGGTACAGCTGAATCACCTACGCTGTTTTCATCTGATGGTTTGTGTGGATTTATTTACTCAGCTAACCTACACGCTATATTGAATAAAGGTTTTGCAGTAATTTCCCTCATTTTAAAGTAGAAAGCTGCGGGAATGAGTAATGCGATGTATGCGCAATCCCACAACGAAATTCAGGATCTTATTAAACATAATTCTATTATACAGAGAATTGTGAAATAGATTTTCATGACTTTTCAAAAACTTTTTGAGTTTATTTATTTTTACAAAACTTTCTAGGCCTGGAAATTGCTGTTCAATGACTTTTCCAGGTTTTTTATGACCGTACGAACCCTAATGTGATGATCGGGTGCGGGTCGGGTGCGGTTATCTAAATCAGACAAAAATACAGGTGCGGGCGGTTGGCGGGTGGATAATTTATTTGAAGCTGCGGATTCGGGTGATGTTTTAGCTCATCCGCGCATCACTACTGTGTATGCAACATGAACCAATAAGCTTGTGACAAGTAGCTGTGAATCTCATCAGTTTGTGTAAAGGACCCATCAGCCAGCGCCATCTAGTGTTTCATGACAAAACTTGGCAATTGCTAATGAATTCAGTCAAAAATACAAGGCAGTGCTCTGATACAGCATTAAAATATATAAAAATAAAAAGTTATGAAACTTTGCTCTGGAACAAATAACAGATTAATACCAAAGACTGCCCGTTAGATTTACCCAAAACAAATTATAGCTCATGTTATAGAGAAATCATAATCAGTGGCAAATTCCAGAACTGGCCGAGGTAAGGTTGTTCTCGATGAGCTCACATCTCCGAAAACGTCAAAGCAAATTTCCAAATAATAAACAAACTGTATAACTGAAAAGTACATCCCGTGACACAAATTCCTGATTTAAGCAACATAGCACACTTATGTAATTGCCCTTCGTTTGCATTATTTATTTATTCTCAATTCATGCAAGAATAATAACTATCATTATATCTCACAAATTCAATGAAATGCTTAAATCATATTGCCATAATCATATGCTGCCATACTGTTGATGTCAGCACCAACTGGGAACATTTTTGGAAGCTGGGCTCTAATTCAAGAGACTGCGCCATCTTCACAATATGGGTCTTGGCAAGTTTGGAGTTGAGCACATGGATGAACTTGTTTTAATGTTAACGCTAGCATAAAAAATACATGCACAACAAATGTAAGATGATGCTGACTGCAGCCCCTGTTCTCACTACACTGAAAAAATGGCAGTGGGGGGATTGTTGAATTTGCAAAAATGCCTGGATCGCTACAGTGTGAAGGTAATTAAATCTTTGAACTGAAATGCCATTGAGAAACAGTTAGTAATCCATTTGAACGTATTTTCCCGGAGGAAACGGTTTTCTGTGCTGATTTTATCGAGCAACCCGACGGAAAGGCAAAGTTAGTGCTAATGTTTAATGTGGTTAGCGATAAAAGAACCCCTGTTTAATACCATGACAGGTACCTGTTTAATAGCATATTTTTCCCGTGTATTACGACTAATTAGTGTCAGGGAGTGTCTGGTGAGGCCAACTAATGTGGGGAGGGGGAGGGGATATGTTAACGTTACTTACAAATCGTTAAAATGCCTTCTGGCTGAGCTGTAAGTTATACCTTTTAAATTTGATCACAAAGAAAAT